AGAGAGAGAGAGAGAGAGAGAGAGAGAGAGAGAGAGAGAGAGACGCTCGCGACGCGGCGTGATGAACAAATTTGTTTTTATCTCACTCTTGATTCTACGTTAAAATGTCGAACGACGAACACAGAAGAATTACGATCGAACGACTACCGAACGCGACAAACAAGCGAACGCGTACGTACGGCGATGATCTCGAGCGTGTCGTTGACGACGGAGCGCACGACGGGATTCGGATCGAACATCAGGTCGAGCATGTAGTCTGGAGCGTGCGTACGCAGCACGCGAGCGCGCGTCTGTGGGTGCCGCACGAGTCGGTAGCAGCAGTGCATCAGCTGACACACGAATTCATCGTCCTCCTGCTTCGCTGCACGACGAAGAAAACAAGAGAACGTCAGGAGGTATATATTGAGCGGTGCAGTGCCGGCTGGCGTGGCTCTCGTGCCAATACCATAGAATGAAGCTCAGTAAATGAAAGAACTAACACAACTGGTAGAAGTCAGCAAATAGGGGAGGCTGGTAGGAGTCAATAGGTCGTAATTAACTAATAATGAATAATGTATTAATTAATAATTTATTTACATTCACAATTAATTAATTTTTAATTAATAATTAATAACAGTTAGTAATGAGCTGGTGGGCGTCAGTAGGGGGCGCTATTAGGCGTCAGTAGGGGGCGCTATTAGGCGTCAGTAGGGGGCGCTATTAGGCGTCAGTAGGGGGCGCTATTAGGCGTCAGTAGGGGGCGCTCACCGTGCAGTAGATCGACGAGGGCGGTAACGAATCCCTCGTTAGCGAGCATCGTCGCGCACTGGTCGTCCGAGCAACACGTTGATACCAGCAGCACACACTCCATGATGAGGTCATCGTCCACAGCACCTAGCGAGAGAGAGAGAGAGCATGAGAGAGGGTGAGAGAGGGAGGGAGAGAGAGAGAGCATGAGAGAAGGGGAGAAAGGGAGGAGAGAGGGGGAGAGAGAGCATGAGAGAGGGGGAGAGAGGGAGAGGAAGAGAGAGAGGGAGAGAGAGAGAGAGAGAGGGGAGAGTCAGGAGAGAGGGAGGGAGAAAGGGAGAGGGAGAGAGAGATGGGAGATATTATAATATAATATCTATCATAATGTTATATAATAATCCAGTCTACAAAGGCGACGTACCAACCAACACAATACACCTGTCTACAAAGGCCACACGCCGACTCACCCAAAACACCTGTCTACAAAAGCCGTCCGCACCGACTCACACAAAAACACCTGTCTACAACGGCCGACCGCACCGACTCACACAACAACACCTGTCTATAACGGTCGGACTCACCGGGGCGGAGGCGTTCGCGCAGCCACGGCACGAGCTCGTACTCTCTCAGCAGCAGCTCGTAGTCTAGATCTGCGATGACAAGGTTGGCGAGACATCCCAGCACCTCTATGATGAAGTCCTCACTGTCGCAGCGCACGACCGCGTTAGCCAGGTCACTCACATACTCCTGATGACAGGGAGAGAGACGGTTAGAGAGAGGGAGAGAGAGGGAGGGAGGGAGGGAGACATCCCAGCACCTCTATGATGAAGTCCTCACTGTCGCAGCGCACGACCGCGTTAGCCAGGTCACTCACATACTCCTGATGACAGGGAGAGACAAGGTTAGAGAGAGAGGAGGGAGGGAGGGAGGGAGGGAGGGAG